ACAGACACAAACAAACATAGAAACGTAAAGAGACTCGGGAAGAAGAAAGGAACAAGTAAAATTATACTTACGACGAACTATAAAAAAATACCTTTGCACCATTTCTCAGTAGAACATTTTAATTTACACAAGATAAAGAGAGAAAGAGAGAGAGAGAGAGAGGAAAAAGAGAGGGGGGAGAAAGAGAGGGGGGAGAAAAAAATAACAAGCGAGAGATGAAAAAAAGTGTTTAAAAGCACCAAACAGGATGAGTAAAACGTGACAGAAAATAAATAGAGAGAGAGAGAGAGAGAGAGGAGAGAGAGAGAAAGAGATAGAGACAGAGAGAGGCATAGAGAATGAGATAAAGAATGTAAAAAATATTTTATTAGCAGTAATAATAACATATGTAGCTATGAGTTACGAGTTGTTATATAACTAACAGAGTTAACATGTAGTTGGGTGTTCGTTTGTGTTTGTTTGACAATCACTCGTTCTGCCATTTTTTCATTTAACAACACACTTGAGTCGTCGTTCAATCAATCATTCGTTCATTCTTTCGTTCAATCATTCATTCATCCATTTATTCGTTCGTTCGTTCGTTCATCTATTCACCCACTTAATCATTTATGTGTGTCTTTAAAGTAGGACGTGTCATGCAATTGAACTAATTGCTTCAGAAATGTGTCATACATACAAGTTTGACGATGAAGACGATGACGATGATGACGACGATGATGATGGTTATATCAACCATGATGAGGACGATGATGAGAACGTTGGTGAATGAAAGAAAGAAAGGAAGGAAGAAAGAAAGAAAAAAAAGAAAGAAGGAATAAAAAAGAAGGAAGATGATGAATGAGTGATAGTTGGTTAGTTGGTGAGTTAGTCATAGAATGTAAGCCACAGCAAGTGCATTTTTGACGAAAACAAACATTAACAATGGTGGCTGTGTTAGCATTATACTATACTATTATTATTATTATTAAGTAACTATTATTATTGTTATAATAACAAAACAACATAGGAATTAAGCTTAGGTTGAGACCAGTACGTTATATAGAGTCTTTTATTGGGGATGATGATGATGATGATGACGTGTTGATGGTGATAATGATGATGGTGATGATGATGATGACGTGCTGATAATGATGACCTACTCGAAAAACCGAATACCGCTACACACGACGAATAACGATACACAAATACCGATATAAAAACAATTTGTATTCTACACACACGCACCACACACACACACACACACACGCATACACACACACACACAAAAACATGTGTAAGCACCTGTACACTGTACACACGTTCTGATCTAGGGTTGGTTGGTTGGTTGGTTGATTGATTGATTGGTTGGTTGGTTGATTGGTTGGTTGGTTGATTGATTGGTTGATTAGTTGGTTGATTGGTTGTTTGGTTGATTGGTTGGCTGGTTGGTTGGTTGGTTGAATGGTTGGTTGATTGGAAGATCAAAAGGTTGGTTGATTGGAAGATCAAAAGGTTGGTCGATTGGTCAAATGGTTGAGTACGTGATTGGTTAGTTGATTGAATGGTGTGTTTTTGATTTGTAACAAACACCAACCACATAAGGCAGCAAACCACAGGACAACTCAACACAACACAACACAATACAATAAAATACAACACAAGGGTTCCATGGTTACACACTTAGTAACACACATATACACATCAATAATACATCATGCGAAAGCACGAAAAAAATATGCATAACACACACACACACAAACAATCACACACAGATTCACACGTACACTACCATCCACACACACACACACACACACAAACACCCACACACACAAAAATTGGTTTACAAAACCATTAAATTCACACATACACGCACATATATAAAAACACGAACACATGCACACACACAAACACACACAAACAAACACGTATATGCTGGCCCATTATAACATAACATACCGACACGGAATGACAGAAAACTAAAAAATAAATTCTTTATACTTTATATCCAATTCATACATTCACAAAAATCACAAACAAATGTATACACAGAGAAAGAGAGAGAGAGAGAGAGAGAGAGAGAGAGATGAGGAAAAAGAGAAAGAGAGAAAAGAGAGTGACGTCATCGAAGAACTCGCGACTCAGTGCCACCTCACCACAACTACTCCAACTGCAACTACCACAATTGGTCTACCTGTATGAACGAGCGAGGAACTTGCAAGTCGGAACAAGTCGCCCAACGGTTGCCGATACTGATCTTATTATTATTCTTATTATTAATATTATTACTATTATTATTCTTCTTATTATTATTATTATTTCTTTTATAATTTTTCGTCGTTTGTTATTTTTCGGGGTCTTAATTTGCTTTTGAAAAAAGACGACGAACGAACGAAAATAGATAGACAAAAGCCACGTCTAAACGAGGCGGAAACACGTGCGCGCACGCACACACACGCGCACGCACACACACACGCACACATTCTACCCATCCTTAATTCAATGACAAGTTCAGAGAGGGCATTGCAGGTGCCTGGAAAGCATGCAAGAGGTGTTTGTGACGATGATTAAAATAAACTCTAAAAAATGATTGAAACGTGAACGACTGAATGAAAAAGAGGAGAGAGAGAGAAAAGAATGAAAGAATGAACGCGCGAACTGAATTAAAGGCAGTAAACGAAGCAAAGACTGGCCGTTCTATCGTGCTATCATCTCTGATAATCTATCGAATGTTCCTAGAAAACACATTTTTATTTTCCGCCATTTTTATCTTTTGCCGTTCCCATTTACTCATCCCTCTATCTATCTATCCATCTATCTATCCACCTATCCATCTATCTGTCCATCTATCTATCATTCTATATATTCACTATCTATCCATACATTTACATGCATTCTTAATCACCTATTAATCCTTGATGTTTTTTTATCTATGCATTCATCTATTTGATTCATTTTTAATCTATCCATCTATCCATGTATCTATCAATAAATCAATTAATCAATCAACTAATTAAATTGAATTTGAATTGAGACAATCTTTTATTCAGCAAAACCAACCAGTCAACCAGTCAACCAGCCAACCATCCAACCAGCCAACCATCCAACCGACCGACCAACCGACTGACAGAATAAAACATCGAATACCTAATCAAAATATACCATCTTCTTTATTCATCAATTTTGCACGTTTGTAAATATTATTTTGTATAACTTCTTGTATCACTTTGTGTTATGTTTGTATAACTTTTTGTATCATTTTGTATTATTTTTGTATTATTGTTTGTATGAAGTTGAGTTTATTTGTTTTGAGAGAGAAAGATAAACAAATAGGCAGTTTTATTTATTTAAAAAATTTTTATTTCCTGAATACCAGATCAAGAATTACAAATTCTACACGCACGCACGCACGCACGCGCGCACACACAAACACACAGACACACACATATACGTACACAAACACCCACATACATACAAAATCATGCAGACATATATCATACACAAAAAACATACATACATACATACATACATACATACATACATACATACATACATACATACATACATACATACATACATACAAACAAAACACATTCGGCTAATTTGTAGGTGTCGAAATGGATGCATGCATGTACGTACAAGCGAACGGGCGGATGAAATTGATTGTATGATTAAAAATAACTACCCAATCATTCACTCATTCATTTAATGGTTAATTCACTCACTCAATTACTCCCTAATTCACTAATCTATTCACTCATGAATTCATGATGATGACGAGCAAACTATGAGTGCAGTACGAGATTTCCCAATATATATGTTTGTATGTGTGTGTGTGTGTGTGTGTGTGTGTGTGTGTGTGTGTGTGTGTGCATATTTGTATGTATGTTTGTGTGAATGTTTGTTTGTATGTCTGTGTGTATATCTGTTTGATTGTGTGTGTATATGTGTGTTCGTTTGCTCGAGTATATGTGGGCTATTTTTATTATGTGTGTGGATATTTTTAGGTGTTTGGATGTATTTATATTTTTGTGTATATGTGTTCGTGTATTTGTATGCACGTGCGTGTGTCTGTT